TGTCCTTCTTGCGAATCAACTGCTCAATTCGGCCAAAAATGGGATGGGAAATGCATTCTTGACTGATAAATTAGGGAATCTTTTTTTCCACAGTTTACAGCATAGAATGATACTCCTTTTTTGCCAAAAACAAGAGTCACTAGATTGGAGCCTGTTGGCAGTGTAGGATTCACCATTGCTGATTGGTGGCGTGGATATATGTATGGCAGTGAGCAGAAAAAACTGGCTTAGCATTTACGGCGCTTTGGAATGAAAGCCGATGTTCATTCATGCTAAACTACGGTGGGCGACAGGGACCAACGCGCTGCAACAGCCAAAAACATCTCCAACTGGAGAAACGCGCAGCAAAAACAGAAACGATGTAAATTCAAAAACACGCAAACCGTGAAAGCAAATGCTAAAGTAAAATGATGCATATCCATGTCAACACATACCGCTGCAATGGCCCAAACCATCTCCAATTGGAGAAATGTGGTGCAAAAACAGAAACCATACAAAGCCAAAAACACACAAACCTTAAAAAAATACAAGAGAGAAAAGCGCTGCATTTAGATATCAACACAACAGAGGTGCTCCTAGTCGCTATGGGGAGCGTCAACTAAAACAGCTTTTACTTCTGTCCTGAGCAAGACAAGCCAGCTAAGCCTTTCTGGCTAGCTAGCCAGCTACCTAGCTAACGTTAGTTTGCTTGCTTAGCTACCAAGTTCACTAGCCTAGCTAGCCAACAGTTTGGTGCATGGAAGTCAATAGAAAATAAACAAATAAAAAAATCCATTATTTTGCTATCTCACTTACCTAGGTTGAACCGCGAGCATTTATGTTATACCAAATATAGTTGCTCCCTAGCCTTCATTTGCTTGCTTAGCTTGCTGGTTCGCTAGCCTAGCTAGCCAACAGTTTGTTGCACAGAATTCAATAGAAAATAAATGAATAAAAACTATCTATTATTTCGCTATTTCACTTAGCTACAGTTGAACCACGATTTATGTTATACCAAATATAACTGCTCGCTAGCTAGCTAGCTAATGTTAGTTTGCTTGCTTAGCTAGCTAGTTTGCTAGCCTAGCTAACTGACAGTTATATTTAACATAAATAAATACTCGCAGTTCAACTCTAGCGAAGTGAGATGGCAAAGTAACAGATATTTTTAATTTATTTATTTTCTATTGACTTCCCTGCATCAAACTGTTGGCCAGCTAGGCTAGCAAACTTGCTAGCTAAACAAGTGAACTAACGTTAGCCAGGTAGCTGGCTAGTCTCGCTCAGGACAGAAGTAAAAGCTGTTTAAATGCAGCGCTATTCTCTCTTGCATTTGGTTTTCGGTTTGCGTATTTTTGGCTTTGCATTGTTTCTGTTTTTGCAGCGTGTTTCTCCAATTGGAGATGGTTTGGGCCTTTGCAGCGGGTATGTGTTGACATGGATATGCAGTGTTTTACTTTTGCATTTGCTTTTGCGGTTTGTGTGTTTTTGAATTTGCATCGTTTCTGTTTTTGCGGTGCGTTTCTCCAGTTGGAAATGTTTTTGGCCGTTGCAGCGCGTTGGCCCCTGTCGGCCACCATACTAAACAGTAGGATATATTGCATGTTGCTAACGGCTGAACATAGCATGACTACCGGCCCGCCAATGATGATCTTCTTGCAGTGGTGATCGAAAAATTTTAAAGTTGCATTTATTGCATTTTGGGATGTGATTCTCCCTGTATTCAGGGTTGTGCGTAAGTACATGCACTGAGTACCCAAAGCAGATCTATTCAGCACCAAATTAGTAATGCACCACATCACACTTTATAAATGGCTTTTTGTTTTAATACGTGAGTTGTCCTGAAATGTGTTTTACATGTATAAGCTTCTGATACCATAATAGAGACACGAGTGCTATCAGACATATAAATTCTGGGCTGTAGCTGTTTTTATGTGAAGCATTAAGTCCTGAAGCACATATGTTCCCTCTGCAGTGGTGTGTAACAGGCACTGTGAAAACGGAGGAGTGTGTGTGTCTCCTGATGTGTGTAAGTGCCAGTCAGGCTGGTATGGGCCCACTTGTAGTTCAGGTAAGTCCTCCCCGCACAAAGAACAAAGTGCCTGTTGGTGAAAGTGAAACGATTTTTGGAAATGCAGTGTCTTTGTTCTGCTGCTGTTTTTAGTACATTAATATCAAGTTATCTAAATTTGTTTAAGACAATGACAGATATAAGCACTACAATAGTTCTGCTTTTGCTCAGAATACAAATAATGCCAATTCTTCCTGTTATGCATGAGCCTATTTAGGCTTTATAACTCAGTTTTTTGTGTCACTGAGACTGAAAAATTATTCCAGTGAAGCAAGACATTTGGAAATTCTATTACAGAATTATTTAGGAATTACATTTACGGAATTTATGGACGCCGGCGTCCACATCTGCACAAAGGGTTTAAATACATGTGTTATTATGTATGTATTGATGTCCTAACATACATTTGCTTTACTTAACAGCGGTCTGTAAGCCAGTGTGCTATAATGGTGGAACCTGCATTAAACCCAATGTGTGTGTCTGTCCCAGTGGATTTTATGGCTCTCAGTGCCAGATTGGTAAGAGAGCTTCTCTTTCAGACACTCGCCTCTGTTTACAAAGTGAAGGCTGTGCTTTGTGCAGATTTACCTCATAGATTCAAATGGACACTGTCTTCATGTGAAACCAAACTTTATGGAGAATGCAGTTCCATTTCAATAGGCAGTTAGGTGAATTAAGATGCATCAACATCGACAAAAGACCACCTGCATTTGACATGTACATTTCTCTTAATATGAAAATAAAATCAAACAATATAGTAGCTTGAATTTAAAAAAAAAAAAAAAAAAGCAAAATGTTGAACATCTCTCAGTGACAAACCCTGAGTAAAGCCTGTGCAAAAGTGCATGTACATATTCATTTGTTTATCATTTACATATATGCGCCATTTGTGTTGCAGCTGTCTGTAATCCCCCTTGCAAAAATGGTGGTCAGTGCATGAGAAATAACGTCTGCTCCTGTCCTGAGGGTTACATCGGAAAACGTTGCCAAAAGAGTGAGTTTATCCCACTGCTGTACACAGCTGTTTCTGTGTTTAACATTAATCAGCGAGTAGCCTCCAGCTCTTGTTTATGTATATGTTCATTTCCCTCAGGACTATTTTAATTTCCAGCGAAACAGTGGCATGTCTGCTCCAGATTTGATGACGTTGTTGTTTTTTATTGTGTGTGTATGTATATCAATCCTCTAGGTGTGTGTGATCCTATGTGCATGAACAAAGGGAAATGTGTGGGGCCCAACGTCTGCTCCTGTGCATCCGGCTGGAGAGGGAAGAAGTGCAGTGTCCGTGAGTGAAGCACTTATGCCCGCTTCATCCTATACCTCATGCTTAGGTCATACTCAGTCCATGTCCAGTGAGTGCTGCCATGTTCTCTCAGCCTTCTGACACCAGCCCTGTTTTTTAATGACCTGGAAGGCTACAGATTTGTGGTTAAGACTAAGGTGGTTTTTATTCGCTGTTGGTTTTATAATTTGCTCCAGATTTGCCTGCAGTGTTTTCTTGAGTGTTTCCATTGATAATAGCAGCACAGAAGTTGAGATTTGTATTTCCACAAATTAATATTCTCGTATTTTCTTTCATGTTTAATTCTTAAATTTTTTTTCTATATTACAATATACATTAATATCTTACTGATATTTATAATTTTCCATTCTCCGCCCTTGTTCTGAGTACAGCGGTGTGCCTGCAGAAGTGTAAAAATGGTGGTGAGTGCGTGGGTCCTAACACCTGCCACTGTCCAGCTGGATGGGAAGGGCTTCAGTGTCAGAGACGTGAGTATCCCATAATCCTTTGAACCCTGTCAATCATGGCACAGCTCAACTTTTCAGTTAACCCTGATGAATGACTGTCTTACAGCAATATGCAAGCAGAAGTGTCTCTTCGGTGGCCGATGTGTTCTACCTGACTTCTGCCACTGTCAACCTGGCTACACAGGCGTCGCCTGCGGGAAAAAGGTAACGTGCAGTTCTGTACTACGGTCTTTGTTTCTCCCAAGCTTTGAGGTAACTGTGTTCTTTATTCAACTGCCCCTTCAGCTGTACATGTACATTATGAATGTTGATACCAGGTTTACAGTAGGGTATTTTCTACAAAATGTCAAATTTTTATTTCAGGTATTCCTGCCTATTCATCATTGACCCTACTTTTGTGCAAGTTTTTCAATGGCTGTTGATTGGACTGAATGACAGCCCTTAACCTCTTAAGCCCTGAGCATCTGGTTCGAAAATGGCATGCCCAAAATGAAATGAGTATATCTCTACAACTACTTGGTCCATTTGAATAATCTTGGTATCATAATAAAGGTAAAACCATTTGGGATTTCTGCCGTGGTGTAAAATCAGTATATATGTCACTGAGTCAGAGTAAATGAAGATGGAACACAGTATAAATGAAAGATCTCATTTTGCACCAAACAAAGTTTAACTTATGTCCTTTGTGAACTTATTTATTTGCAGTCTGAAACATCTAAAAAATTACAGCACAGAATCTCATTATTATCTGAGCCAAAGTTTTTTCTGATCAAGTAAATCAGAGCAAAATTAGAGAGGAATGTCTAGGTGGCTTCTCCAAATTGGCAATTCAGGGACCTTGTGTGCCAAATCAGATTTCTCAGATACAAAACTGTAAAACTCATTTAATTTCACTGATATGTCACTACAGGCATACATTCCATCCAAATACAACCACTTTTTAATTTTTTTTATTTTTTAATATATTTTTTAATTATTATTTCTGCCAGTCCCGTAGCCTATACAATTTCCCATTCAAAGATAATAGATACAAAGAAAATGAAGTTTGACTCCACTGGAGCAGATTTATTTAAAAAAAAAGAAATAAAAGAAATTATAAATACAAAGGCAATGTAAAAAAATGGTAAAGATAAGTAAAAAGAACAAAAACCCCAGCAATAATTTATAGAAGAAAAATGCGACGATTGTCCTAGTAAACATATTCCAAGGCTGGGTTTTGAACCCTGGCAGTCTGGATTGCAGCGAGGCGTCCTAACCACAAGGCTACATCAGCTGACTGAAAATCACAGGTCAAATTGCCCATCTAAGGAATGGGTCAAGAAAACACGAACTGTACTGTTGTACTCTCAGTATTTGTGCGGAATGGCACAAAGATTCTGTCAGAAAACGACTTTGAAAATGACTGTTGAATATTTCGCGGAAAATTATTTGGAAAATGCCACAAACAAAATAGTTGTGCGTTTATATTGTCGCGCTATTTAAGTACATGCGAATGGCCCATGGACTCATTTTGACGCACTGGGAACACAAGGCTCTAGCTCAGGGTAGGTTTGTGCGATTAAGGTGGTTTAGAACTCGTTGGAAACATCAGAATCCATAGAATCAAATGGCTACCAGCAAAGTCTTACTGACAGCATCACAAGCCAATCACAGAGAGGAAAATACGTTGCAAGCAAGCTGAATGCTAAGGAGCTGAGATCTTTGAAGCAATGCCCTGGAAAAAAGCATACTTGTAGTCTGGAAGATCCAGTTTTGTTATAACATGGACACATTGGGCTAACAATAGCGAGCGGCGATTTACCCTCGAACAGTTTTTTATTACAAAATATCAAAGGTAAGAAATTTTTTCTGCTCGTCTCTGCAGACTGTAATGTGTATGCCTGCTGTTCTTTGAGTGTGGCGTCGGTTTAAAATGACGAGGCTTATATCGTTGGATTCTGTGGACTTTCCTCTTTCATTTGAGGTATCGTTTGTATGCATAGCACAAATTCAGTAGAAATGCTAGCGACTCAGCGCTGATAAAATTTTATTCTATGTTTTGTTACATGGTTATTTACTTGCTTGGTGCTTGAATTGTGTTCGGTTGAGGTAAAAATGGTCAACATGAGCATTTTGCAGAGTTTCTTCGTGTAAGGTGGATAAGCTGCATGACGATGTTGCGATTAGGAAACATGCTATATTTATTATGCATAACGGCCAAGCCTGGTACCGGGTGCATTAGGGCTTACGGGGTTAACTAGTTTTCGGTCTCCTCCTGCCAACCTCAATGCATATGTGTGACCAGCCATGAAAAAGGCTGGCAGGGTCAAAATTTTCAAAATTCAGTTTTATGTTATTTGTTATAGAGTGGACCTTCCTCTCCCAGAAATTCATCTGGACGCGTGTTTGCTGTATTTAAATTAACGTCATTCAAAATTGCATACCTGTCGACTCTCACGCAAATAGCTTGAGCCGCACGCTTTTTATAGCCTATTTAACTGCTGAGTGCCACTTTTTTTTTTTTTAATCAACCCACGCAATACCGAGAGTGAAAGGCGATATTTCATTGGAACACGGACCAGTTCAATCAACGCAAAGCATTGGCCTATTAATAAGTAAATTATTTTTCTGTACTGAATTTAGCCCATAATTTCATCGCTGTTAAATCGCATATGGAGAGAAACCATGTCTTCAGTTGCCAATTATGATAATCGGAAAACGCATCAATAAAGAGAAATGATTGAGAACTAGCCAGGACTAATAAAGGGACTTGTCTGTGCCCACAGTTCTAGCTCCATCACTGAGTAATAGCCAATTTTCGGCAGTATTGAAATGGAAATTTATCGAGACACTGAGGGGATTTCGCGTGACATATATGGAGCTAAATCCTGTGGATCAGAAGCAGTTTTCCAAATGCAAAAGTAAACACAGTCCACTTGGCAAGCGGGACATTTAAATCGCAGTTTTTCTCAATAGCATGATCGCCACTCAGAGGTACCTTTTACCACGGCGGGTCACATATACGTAAAGAATATGCTTAAAACCCACAAGTAGCCGATGATATGTTCATACAATCATTCTTACATGATTGTGGATAAAGAAGAATAATGAATTTGTTGAATGAATTCTTTTGTTTCAGATTCCACAGGGATGAGTGTCATTCGAAGGGATGTTAGGAACTGCAATTCTGATGAACTGCTGGGAGTTCTTAGCCCATGAGTACAGCAAAGAGAGGAAGATTGTGTGCGGATGTATGAGTGTGTGTGTGCGCGTGCGTGTGTATACATGCAGTTTGCTCGGAGAAGGTATGATAGTCAAGAATAATGAACGTTAGTGTTTTATCAGTGTCAAACTGTCACTACCTCATGACACTGTTTATTGTGTGTTTTGTCCGGGTACTCTTGATGCTTCACCCACTGCTACAGGTTGGCCATTGATCTCATTTGTCTCATGGTAATTTTTTTCATATTATCCTCAAAAGTTTATTCAGTCCTAGCTTTATCATATAAGACTGCTTAAGTTCATTTTTGGTGTGCATGTGTTACTGAACGAATTTTTCCTTAATTAATGTGCACTGTGTCATTTTACACAGTACTATACCTGGAGGTTACTAACCCCTCTCTCATTTGTATACAGTATACTTAATCACCTAATTTACTTCCCTATTCACTGGTAATTTGTGTCTTAACATTCCCTGAAAATAATAAATACAAACTTGTGACATGTTCCAAATCTGTGCATTTATGAGATTCTTATTTCATTGTTTCATATTGCTGAATATGGCAGACTAAAAAATTACTTAAAATGTTATTCTTTGAAAAATGTCAAATGAAGATGTTTTATCTTGGATCTGTATCAGTATTTGGAGTAAAGACTTACTTTGAAAATAAATTAAAGTTCAGTATTTTAGATATTACTTGTGCTGTAAATCAAGTGTTTTTTAAATAAAATATTTTAACTGTACTTACTGTATCTGTTATCATCCTTACTTCTCTCATTCTAAAATCTACTATTGGCCACTGCTTGAAAAGAAGCTACCTGGACTGATGCTCAAATACTACCTGGAAAAGGTGGTTTAATGTGATTAATTTCTTATCACAACTTCAGCACTTGCATGTAAGAGGTATTCTTCATTTTGCCAGAATGTGAAAGTTTTTAAGATGTGAATGTATTTCTGTGCATACTGCTAAAAATGCAAATAAAAATAATTTTTGCTACAATTGTAACTACAGTATGTATAACAATTCCTGGGTAGGCTCACTCGGGCTCCTTGGCGGTGCAAAGGTGGCCACTACAGTCCCAGATGGAGTTCAGCCCTGCTTTTGCCGACTCTGATCAGCAGCACATTCAGGGACATTAGGGGCATACAGTTGACTTAGTTCAGCAGAGTTCATTACTCAAGCTCCTCGTATTGACAATCCAGGAGCCCGTTGGTTACTTTCTGAGCAAGCACATGCTCAGGTTTCCTCCACCCTTCATGTTTGCATGCCAGGACTGTGACCAGGAGTGACAAGAAGCAATGTATTTTGGGGGAGAACTACGAACTTTCTGCACTCTCTCGAGATCGCAGTTTTGTACGAGAAAAGTTGTACATCGTTCACTGATCGGACATTGCATATTCTGGTGAGTTTGGAGATCCCGCCAAATTATTGAAGGGGGAAAAAATATGAAAATTTACTCAGCTCTGAGTTAATTTTACTATTACAGCCAAATTATTGGGACAACAATCTTTATTTTTGGTTTTTATAAGCTGTACACAATCTATACAAGCCATCTTGTTCCATGAGGCTTTTCTTAGAAATGTCACGTGTAAGTAGACAAAATGGATGAATAGCTTCATGTTATTTCCCAAAATAGTTTCAAGTTAGTTCCAATTCAGGGAAGTGAGATATGTGTGAAGTTGTTCAAGGTACATTTATGCTCTCAAATTCAGACGGTGAGAAGATATCTTTTCTGATTTGCATTGAACATCCCAGCTCGCAAAGTTATTGCCGACTACATATTTATAAAACATTACAGAAAATCAAGACTTGTATCCAGTATTTTTAATAATTGATACAGGCAGAATAAAATGTTTTCAAACATCATGAAGCTTTTGTCCAGAACAAAAAGTTAAGTGGTTCAAACAATGCATTTACACAAAAATTGTAAACAGTTTATCTATATTATAGCACCATTGGTAGAACTCATTAGGTTAGCAGAAGAAAATGCGTACTCTCTCCTGCAGTTCTAGGGTGTGAAGCACTTTGCCACCCCCTGCTTCAGAAAAGTTTCTTCCTCTCCTCACAGCGTGGTCCAGAGAAGAGGGGGTGACATCTGCACACATCAGGGGACACACACTTCCCCCCGTTCAGACAGGGGCGCGTACACACAGCTTCAGGAGAAAGGGGGGGGAGAGAATTTAATTTAATTTATTTATTCAATTGCATTTCATCCCTAAATTAATGCTGTATATTACAGAGGGCTTGGGGGTCTGACCCTCTTTAAGACTTGATATTGCAAAAATGGGAAAAACAACAGGTTGCAGGGCAATAAATGCATGCATATGCTATATAACTAATATTATGACATTTATATTAACAATTAAAATATATTTCCCATATGTCCAGAAGAAACTTGTTATACTTTTTTAGGTCCCCCTGAAATGGATCATACCATTTTTATTTATCTCCGCCAAGGAGATAATGCGATCGAGTCGGTTTATTTATTTATTTATTTATTTATTTGTCTGTCCGTCTGTCCTTCTGTCTGTCTGTGGACAGGATTTCTCGGAAACTACTGGACGGATCTTCATGAAATTTTCACCAGAGGCAGATCTTGGGCCAGGGACGACTCCATTAAAATTTTGTGATGATCCGGATCCGGATCTGGATTCTGGATCCGGATCTGTATTTACAATCTTAGTGGCATATCTTGGAAACTACTTGACGGATCTTCATGAAATTTTCACCAGAGATAGATCTTGGTCAAGGGACGACTCCATTAAAATTGTGTAATGATCCAGATCCGGATTTGGATTCTGGATCCGGATCTGTATTTACAATCTCAGTGACATTTCTCCGAAACTAATGAACAGATTTTGATCAAATCAAGGTGGAAAGTGATTGCGCAATCACACCCGAGGGTAATTGTCCAGTCAGGCCACTGATTGCGCAATCACACCCGGCGGCCATTGTCCAATCACACGCCAGCGGCGGTGATTATCCAATCACACCACTGATTGCGCAATCATACACCGGCAGTGATTGTCCAATCACGGCCTGTGCAGTCACATCGATGCGATTGCGCCAATCA